TGTGAGATTACTGATTTGCATGAAGACGATAAAATCTTTGAATGTCTCCAACTTGTATATCTTTTAAGCAACTTGTCATGTAACTTATAATGGAGCATGACAGATATGAAATGGATTCGTTGAAAGTTCAGAAAATAGAAGAATAAAAAATTCCTTATATGTGGAAGATGTGTGGCTTGGCTGAGAGATATTAATTTGGTAAAAAATTCGATTGATTTTACAATTTAAGTATTAAGCGGCTATGGCGTGGTGACCTTGATTCAGATCTCGGAAACGATATCGTTAATGTTTCAGATAAAAGAAAAATTAGCATGTATTAAACTAGATTACACATACATGTGTGTGGTATATGTAATATATATATATGTGGTGTGTGTGTGTGTGTGTGTGTGTGTGTGTGTGTGCTTGTGTGTGTGTGTGTGTGTGTGTGCTTGTGTGTGTGTGTGTGTGTGTGCTTGTGTGTGTGTGTGTGCCTGTGTGTGTGTGTTGTCCGTGTGTGTGTGTCTGTGTGTGTGTGTGTGCTAATGTCCCTTGTCAATACGTACTGATAAACAGATAGATCGATAGATATACACGTAGAGACAAAGATGAAAGAAAAGAAAGCTAAGAAAAAAAACGAAGAGAGACAGAAAAATAACAGACGACGTTAAAGTACAAAAAAAAAAATAAAACAAAAACTAAAGACGACACAAACCCTCAATTGAAGCAAAACCCAAGTCAGGATCAGAGCAAAACTTGAGAGAAAGGAAATCCACTCCCGGAATTAAGGGAGATCACAGCATCCTCTCAGCATCTCCCTGGAGTCACTGGGGAGATTAGGAGTGCTTTGATGAGAGAGGGAAAATATCAATGATTGAATGATAAAAGATAAATGGTGATGATGAGGATAAAGATAATGATGATAATGATATGGATGATAATGATAATATGAAGAATGATAATGATAACAGTAATAATAATAAAATGAAATGATAATGATAACAGTAATAATAATAATGATAACAGTAATAATAATAATGATAATAATAATGATAATAGTCATGATAATAATAATAATAGTACTAGTAATAATAATAATAGAAAGATAGAAAAAAGAATAGAAGTGTAAACAAATTAAGAAAGATAATAAGTAAATAAAAAGCTAAAATTGAATAACAATGTAGGAAAGTAAAAAGATGTGTAAGAAATGTAGGGATGTATATAAAAAATGATGTTAAAATACAAAAATATAGATATAAAAAAGGAAAAGATATAAAGAAAAAAAGGTAAAATGTTGAGAAATATGAGTTCAAATATGAAATGTAAAGAAATAGAAGGAAAAATGAATAAAATCGAAAGATTAAGCAAAAATTGTTTCTTATTCGGGCTTTCACGACAGAGAGGGGCGTGAGGGGATATTTCTCTGTCAAATGTGAAGGAATTGCCGTAAATACTGATAAGAAACGATAAGAAGAGAGAACGATTGGTAAGAAGGGTCGACTTGGATAATAGCTTTGAAATTTGATAAGGATTCTGAGACACGTTTCTTCCGTTTTATCTTTGGCTCTCTCTCTCTCTCTTGCTTTCTCTCTCTCTTGCTTTCTTTCTCTCTTGCTTTCTTTGTCTCACTCTCTCTTTCTCTCTCTTTTCTCTCTTGCTTTCTTTCTCTCGCTCTCTCTCTCTCTCTTTCTTCTTGCTTTCTTCTCTCACTCTCTCTTTTTCTTCTCTTTCTCTTTCTCTTTCTTTGCTATCTTTCTTTATCTTTTCTTTCTTTTCTTTCTTTTCTTTCTTTCTATCTCTCTGCTCTCTCCTCTGCTCTCGCTCTCTCGTACATCGGGAGTCAAGCCCCTCGGGTAGGATGATGTGTGCCAGATAGGAGTCGTGCTTCTTGATCATTGTTTCCTCTGCGCTATTGCTCGATAAAATCACTTGTACGAGCTCATCCGCATGCTCAGCGGTGCGGTACGCACTTTGGATCTATGACACACAAGAGACTGCTAGGGATACCGAGAGATACACAGGCATCTTGCACAGAGTTCTTGGGTCTCATGATACCATAGCCAGATAGTATCTAACTGTCCGTTGTCGCCTGATATGTAAGTCGATAAAGTGCATCGCGTGCGCGCAGCGGGGCGCTTCACGCCCTCTCCGGTCTCGACCTCTCTCTCTGCTTCTCTCATCTCTCTCTCGTCTTCTGTCTCTCTCTTCTCTCCTCTCCGTCTCTTTCTCTCTCTCTCTCTCATCATCTCTCTTCTCTCTCTCTCCGCTCTCTCTCTATCCTCTCTCTCTCTCATCTCGCCTCGTCTCTCTTCTCACTCGGTGCTCCCTCCTCTCTTATTCTCGTCTCTCTCTCTCTCCTCATCCATCTCCCTCTCCCCTCCTCCTCTCGCTCTCCCTCTCCGCTCTGCCTCTCCCTCTCCCTGCTCTCTCTCCCTTTCCCCCCTTCTATCCCTATTCCCCCGAGCTCCCCACCTTTCGCCCGCTACTACCGCCCCTCATCCTTTCCCGCCCACCCCGATCCCAACGCCCTTTTCCCCAACCACCGCTGAATTGGAAGACGTAAGAGGTTCTACGAGATGTATTCTATATTACCAGAACATGACCTGAGTGACAGCCGCTATCAGTGCTAGCCCTTGCACGGATCGTCATCGAGCCACGCGTTGTACGCTCGTTGATAGGATGTACGAGAACACCAGGGCCCATAATCTAAGGCAGAATGCGTGAAAGATAATGAAGAAGTGTTGTGTTGTGTGTGTTTTTTTTTTTTCTCTCTCTCTTTCTTTTCTTTCGTCATTTTTTTTTTCATTTGTTTAGTTATTTCTCTTTTGTTCTTGTGTCTGTCTCTCCGTTTTTTGCGCTTTATCTTTCGTTTCTTTTTTTCTGGATATGTCGGCCTTGGTCTTTTTATCTAGCCATTGAGTCTGCTTTTCGAATCGTCAGTCCTTCGACATTTCAACTTATTTTACGTAAGTGGTTGCGCGGTCTTACGGTGTTCTTCATTTCTTGAGGGGAAATTTTGTTTTGAAATCCTTTTAATTTCAAGGGGATAGAACATAGGATGAATGTCGTGTGGCGTGATAATAGTACGTAGTACTCTGACTATCGCTGGCATGCAATACAGTTGAAAGTGGTTGTGTTAATTTGATCGTTTTTGTTTTTGCCAGGGTCTTTTTTTTGGAAGAAGAAAAGATGCTTGTCTTAAATTTGCATAAGTGGTATGAAATATTCTGTCCATTAATACGGCAGCCACGATGTCAGTATGTAGCGAATCCTATTATTGATCGCAGTTTGTTATGATCCTACTCATTTATAGATCGGTAGATGAAATAAATCTGTACGGTTTAATAGAGGGAAAGAGAGAGAGAAGTGAGATCTTAGATTCGACTCAAACGTGTCGCGCGTTTACATCAGCGTCTCTACTCGATAGTACGTCATACACGAGGAGCTGCGGAGCAAGTGAACTAGATAAGACCACTCCAGCGGCTAGCTCGAGGCACAAGACTGCGTGCAGACGCGGCATGTCTCGATAGCCAGCGCGAGCACAGAGAAATAAAGTAACAAAAAGACAGGAGGAAAAGGAAGACACACTCAAGAATGAAACATAAAAATACACTCCACTAAGCCGATTTTAAAGAGCAAAGAGAGGACAAGAAGAGCACAAGCAAAGACAATTACTTCCGTAATGAGCAAAGACAAGAATGAGATATGAGAGAGACCAGAAAAACAGTAAAAAAAGAGAAGAGAAAGAAAAGAAACTAGAAAAGAAAGGAGAAAGAGAGAAGAAGACCTAAACACAAAGACTCAGTAGAAAAGAAACCACAAAGAGAGAGAGAGAATAACAATAGAAACAGACAAGAGGGAAAAACGAAAGAAACAAGAAGAGAGAGAGACAAACAAAAGAAACAGAAGTCGAGACGGGACAAAGAAAGAAGGACCAAGAAGAGAAGAGAGAAAACAGCGAAAGAACAGAAAAGCAGGGACAAGAAAGAAACAACACGAGAGAGAGAACACTGATCTACAGCTTAACAAACATGCAAACAAGAAAGGAGGACGACAAAGAAAGAGCACAAAGAGGACAGAGAGAAGTCATACAAAGAAAACCAGAAGAGGGACAGAAAGAAAGAAAACAAGAGAGAGAGAGACATCAAAAGAACAGAAAAGAGGGACAAAGAAACGAAACAAGCAAGAGAGAGAGACAAACAAAGAAACAGAAAGACGCGGACAAATGAAAGAAAACAACGAAGAGAGAGAGACGCAAACAAGAGAACAGAAAGAAGGGACAAAGAAAGAAAACACAGAAGAGAGAGAGACACAAACAAAGAAAGCAGAAAGGAGGGCCACAAGAGAAAGAAACAAAGAAGAGACGGAGAAGACATACAACAAGAGAGCAGAAAGAGGGACAAAGAAAGAAACAAAAAAAGAGAGAGAGAGAGAGCACGCCACTATCTCAAACACAGATTATAGTAGAGAAGGGCGCTGTGCCATGAGTATTATCGCCATTAAAAAAAACGAAATTATTCGCCCCGGGGGGGGGGCGGAAAAAAGTTTTTTCTCGTATAATTGTCACCCCTAACCCCGCACTCCCATCCCCCATCAACCCCTACACCGCGCACCTCCTCTCCCTCAACGGCCTATGCACCCCACCTCCCATCCCCCAACCCTACACCCATCCTCCGCCTCATCCGCTACACCCCACACGGACCCGTCCCCTCAACCGACCCCTACACCCCAAACCCACCCCACACACAAGCCGTCCGCCTATCCCGCTCCCTCACCCTCAACCCTTCCCCCTTCCTCCCAATTTCTTTTTCTTCGCCGGTTCTTTTTCCTCTTTTCTCTTTTATATCGTAGGCTGAGTAGCTCTTCAGCGTCTTGCATAGATTCCTTTGTGATCGTTATCATCCTTATTGATTCCGTTCCATTCCATTAGTTTCTTTGTTTGTTTATTTATTTTGTTGCCTTTTTTCCTTGTCTTTCTTTGTGTTTTTTTTATTTCCTTTATATATTAGTTAGTTTTTTTCTATAAACCGAAAGCTCAGGGGAGTGGGAAGAAAGTTGAACTGATATGGGCACAGACAGGAGAGGCAGACAGGAAAAAATTTAAATGAGAGGCGATGAAAGAGAAATGGAAAGAAAAGGGGGATGAAGGAACTGGCAAGAAAATGGTAGCAGAAGGAGGAAATTGTGTAAAGAGGAATAGAAGGACGTGAGGAACTTGCTTGGAGGAAGCAGTGAATAGGAAAGCGGGAAAAAGAGAAGGGAATAAGAAAATCAGGTAAGAGAAGCGAGAGAAAGATATGTAGGACGTGCAGCGCGTATAAGACGTGGAAAGGGAGGTAAAGGGAGAGGGAAAAGCGAAATGAAGGCGAGAAGAGGGTAGACTGGAAAGAGAGAACAGGAAGGAGGGGAAGAAGAAGGGAAAACCAAAGGAAAGGAAGAAGGCAAAAGGAAGAAAAGGCGTAAACGCGAGAAGTAAAACAGGGGAAAGGACAGAGTGAGGCGAGAGGAGAAATGAGGATAGACGAAGGAGAAAGACAGAAAGGAGGAAGGCAAAGAGGGAGAAGAAAAGTAAGGAGAGGGAAAGAACAGCAAAAAAGGGAAAGGATATAAGGGAGAGAAAAAGGAAAGCGAGATGAAGAAGGGAGAGGGAGAGAAAGAAGGGAAAGGAGTGGCAAAGAACATAATGAAAGGGAGAGGCGATAGGAGGTAAAAGTGAGGGAGGGGAGAGCAACGAAAGGGGAAGAGGGGAAGGGGAAATATAAAATGGTAAATCTGAGAGAAGAGGAGCGAGAAAAAACAGAAGGATAAGGGGAGTATAGGGATAATAGGGAATAACCCAATGGTGATCTTGGAGGCGATGTGTACGTTTTTGTAGATGTTGTAGTGGTATGTACGAGGTATGTGCGTATTTTTAGCTGTAGATTTGAAACTTGTTTTGAATGGATCAGTTATATGTCTCTAGCATTTTTTGCCTGTGAGAAATTTCGTTTGTCTGTTTGTCAGTTGTTTAATCGTGCTTCAAGGAATAAGCATAATAAGTAGTTTATAATTTATTCTATATATATATATGTGATATTTCTCTTAAATGTCTCATTGGAGTTAAGTTTTCTTTCAGACATAATTCTTTTATTATTATTCAAGAATAAAGGTAATGTTAAATAACACATTATAGGAATAGTAGCGATGTCCACAGCATAAGGCAACGTAACAATCGTTTAGTGGTTTGGAAATCTCACACATCAGTGCGAGTCAAAGCAGTTGAAACAGTCGGTGTGGCGAGCAGTACGTGCTTGGTCGTATACCGCATTCCAGTATGACGCACACACACTACACACACCACGACACCTTAAGGCATCGGATCGGCGACTAACAATCGATGTTATTCAAACCAGGGTGCACACACACACACACACACAGCTCACCAACTGTAGTACAGGCGTCCGAGAGCCTCGTCTGCATATACTGGTTAGGCAAAATCGGCAGCGAGGGGACGTGGGAGCTCGGATGCGCTGAGTTGCCGTAGATCGCGACTCGAATAACCCGCGAGCGAGTTACTGTGTGCACGAGACACACACCACAAACACACAGCACACACACACACACACAGCACAACAGCACAAGATACACAGGCACCACACACGCACACACACATCATATGACACACGCAACCACGGCCATCGCACACATGGCACACGTGGCAACCACGCATACCGCACACGCGTACATAACACACAAGACCCACACAGACACAAACACACAGACACCAAGCGAGCACCACACCACACCACCATGCACACCACAGCACATAGCGTACCTGGCATCGGGTGGACTACTCGCCGGACTTTGTTATGCTCACCGGTCGCACTGGAGAGTGACTGTATCGGGTGTTGAAATGCAGTAGACTCGTAGCCACCAGAGCTCTCTCCATATCAGATGTACTACAGTGCTGTGAGATTATGTGAAAAACACGTGACGAACGATGGATCGATGCACACACCACTACACACACACACATCGGACGGCAATCCTTGCGGCGGTGATGTACATTACACCGCGACACGCACACTACACACTACGATATCGATGATACGAACACGAGCAGCACACACGATCGATTCAGCGAGTTTCTCAGGTCTGGACTGGACAGTTACAGTCGGCTCGGACGCGCACACAGAGAAAAGAGAGAGAGAAGAGGAGAGAGAGAGAGAGAGAGAGAGGAAGAGAGAAGAGAGAGAGAGAGAGAGAGAGAGAGAGAGAGAGAGAGAGAGAGAGAGAGAGAGATGTATGCATTTAGCAGAGACGTAAATAGCATACATACATACATACATACATACATACACATACATACATACATACATACATACATACATACATACATACATACATACATACATACATACATACATACATATAACACACCGTGCGTGTGCATAAGCAAGTGTGATTGCATTTGAGTTTGTGTATACAAGCTGTTGTCTGTTAAATGAATATCAATAAACGTGTTTTCCTTTCTAAACAATGATGTCATTTTGCAGTTTTTATGTATTTACACCTGATTAATCCTGCAGTTAATATGACAGTAATAAAATGGTAAACAGTGCTTGGTGTATTTGATACTGTGTAAAGCAAATCTAAATATTCAAATTATGTCGTAATTTGCTTTTTTATCATCTAGGTTTTTGCATTAATGTTACATAAATATGAATGCTATAATTATAAGACTTGCTTGTATTTATAGAGATTATATGAATGATGTATAAAGTCATTTGTTTGTTGACAGTATATTGGCTTTGCGTCTGTGGTGTATATAATTTTTTCCCCTTTTTTGTATTTTTTCTTTGTCTTTTGCGTCTTGGCTCATATATTTATTTTACATTCTTTTCTTTTCTCTTCTTTAAGTAATGGATGTGATTTTTCCTATACAATAAAGTATGAGTAAATTTGCAATTTTGGAGAATTTAATCTTTTTCTTAGGAGAGAGAGATTTTGCCCGCATCTTTATAGAAAGAAAAAATATTTTTCTCTCTTCTCTCTCCATAGATATAGCCCTTCAACCATTTCTCTTACAATAGATATAGATTTTTCCCCCCTTTTCTATCTATCTTTTCACCTATATAAAAAAGATAAAATAGAGAAAACCTATTTACATTTATTTCCGAAATTGGTTTACACCTGCCACCCCCGAGGGAGAGCGCCCAGGCCAGCCACCTATAAAAGCCGAGGCCCTCCTGCGCTGACCCCCAGACCCCTCCGTTTGCCAGGTTGACCCACAAGCTTGTCGCGGCTGGAGAGCGTCCACCAAACTTCACGGAGTTCGTGAATGGCGTTCAGCCACTTCGGCGCCGAGATGGTGAGTTGGCGCACCTGACGGGGGACAGGGCGCGGACATGAAGGACGAGAGAGACGGGCGCAGATGGCGGCGCGGCGAGGCAGGTGCTGGACCGCTCCACCATGAATGCTGCTCAACGGCTCCAAGGTGGTTGCGGGCGGCGGCGGGCGGGGTGGGGGAGGGGGGCTGTGGCTGTGGGTGCGGGGTTGGGTGGGGAAGGGAGTGTTGGAGGTTTGTTTTATATATAATATAATATATATATTCATATATATAATATATTATATGCATTTCTCTTTTTTTCTCTTTATTTCTCTGTTCTCCTCTCCTTCTCTCTCTCTCTCCTCTCTCTCTCTCGTCTCTTCTCTCTCTCTCTCTCTCCTCTCTCTCCTCTCTCTCTCTCTCTCTCTCTCTCCCCCTCCCTCCCTCCCTCCCTCCCTCCCTCTCTCTCTCTCTCTCTCTCTCTCTCTCTCTCTCTCTCTCTCTCTCTCTCTCTCTTCTCTCTCTCTCTCTCTCTCTCTCTCTCTCTCTCTCTCTCTCTCTCTCATTCTCTCTCCTCTCTCCTCTCTCTCTCTCTCATTCTTCTTCCATGTCCATACTCCATTACGTCTTCGCTTTTTCCATATATTTCTCTTAATTGCTATTCATTTGTGTTTCCAACCTTTCGCATTTGTCTTCTTCTTTCTCGTTTTATCGGTTATATCCTCTCTCGCCTTTCTGCCGCCTTCCCCTTCTCATTTTCTTAATCCGCTGTCTCCTGTTCCTATCTCTCGCTGTCCTTGTGTCTCTCCATCTTCTTTCTTTCTTTTTCCTCTTTCTTCTTTCTTCTTTTTTTTTATGTTTATGGTTAATTTTATTATATTTTTTATTTTGCTGTTATTTTTTATTTATTTTTTTCTATTATTTTGTATTTTATTATCAGATTTTTATAATATTATTTATATTATTTCTATTTTTCTTCTTCTTTTCCTTAATTTTATTTTGTTTTTATTTTCCTTCTTGTTGTTCTTCTTTTCCTTTTTTATTTTTTTATTTTAATGTCTTTATGTTTTTCTTATCATACTCTTTCTGTTTTTTGCGATTTTTCCTTTGAAATCTGTGCCTTTTTCTTCATTTCCCCCTATTCATCTCTTTTCTTCCCTACTGTGCTGTATTTCTATCTTCTTTAGTCTTTCTCTCGTTATGTATCATTTTCTCTTTCCCTTATGCTCTTGTTTTTCCCCTACCATTGAATTATTTTCCCTCCTCTCCCTCCTTTTTTCACTCTGTAAATGCGTTCCCCGCTGTTATTCCTTTTTCCCCCATGTTGTTCTCTTTTTCCCCTGCTATTTCACCTTTTCTCCCCCACCCATCACCCTGTTTCTTCCCCCAAACAATTCTCTCTCCTTTCATTTATTCTAATTCTATCTTTTGCCACTTTGCTTTTCCCTGTCGCTCGTCTTTTTCCCTTATCTTTTCCCCTTGTGTATTTGTTTTTATTTAATTTTTCCCCTAAACTTATTTTTATCCCCTGCTGTCCCATCCCACTTTTCCCCCAAATGTCATAGCCTAACTCTTATTATCCTTGTCATTGTTATCATTATTATTATTGTTGTTGTTGTTGTTATTATTATGATGATGATGATGATAGCAATAGTGGTAATAATAATAATAATAATTATTATTATTATAATGATATTGTTAATGATACTGATAATGATGATGATGATATTCATAATGATAATGTGGATGATTATAATGATGATGATGATATTCATAATGATAATGAGGATGATTATAATGATGATGATGATAATGATAACGATAATTATAATGATATTGATTATGATAATGATAATGGTAGCAATAATGGTAACAATAGTAATAGTAATTATGGTAATGATAATAAAGATAATAATAATAAAAATGAGAGTAAAGATGATGGTAATAAAAATATGATAATGATAATAATAATGATAATAGTAGTAGTCATAAGGGTGATAAAATAATGATGATGATATATATATATTAATGATAACAATAAGAAGAGTGACAAAAAATTATCACCAGCCATCAGGTTCCTTCCCCTCCCCCTCCCCTCCCCCCTCCATATCCTCCTTATCTGACCTTCCTCACTTTTTCCTTCTTCACCCGTCCCCACCCCCTCCCCTAACCCTCTCCTACCCCCTCTCCGTATCCTTCCCCCCCCTGCCTGTTTTTTGTCC